GTAGAGACGGGGTCTCGCTCTTGCTCAGACTGGTTTCGAACTCCTGAGCTCAAACAATCCACCCGCCTCGGCCTCCCAGAGAGCTAGGATTATAGGCGTGAGCCACCGCGCCCGGCGAGATATTATATTTAATAGATTATCTGTTATCATGCAGACAAATTGGGCAATAAATGTGTTTTTAAAGGAACTGATTTTTAAAATGTAACATACATAAAGTACACAAGTCTTAGACATGCAGCCCATGACTTTGTGCATACATAACCATTGCCCAGAACAAGATATGGAACATTTGTAGCACCTAGTAGGCTCTTTGGTACCTCCTCCCAGGTTATGACCCCTCCCTCAAAGGTAACCACTACTCTGACTACCAATATTATACCATAAATTAGTTTTGGTGTTTCTGAACTACATATAGATGGAATTATACAATATAGACTCTTTTGATCTGGCTTCATTTGCTCAACATTATCTGAGATTCATCTATATTATTGCTTGCAACTTCAGTTTGTTTTTGTTCATTGCAGTGTAGTATTCTGTAGTATGAATGTACTACAATTTGACAGATATTCTGTGATTTTTTTCCCTGCTTATTTGAGTTTTAAGTGATGAAATACTTGATAAAATTAAAGTGTTTATGTTATTTGGGGATTATTTTGTTTTGCCCTTTCCTCTGTTTGTAATCAAGTAACCTACTTTGTGATGTAAAATTACCCTATGTTCTCAGGTTTTGTAAGTATTAGCAAACCATATGAAATTGCCGTTTTGTAGGTTAAAATTGGTTGAATAGTATTTTTCCACAAGGCTTTGTTTTTGGTGATCTTCCTTTCAGCCAGGGACCTCATAATTACTGTGAAACCTCACCTATTCACAGTTGTGAAACACTAAGTTTAGGGAGCTGTATCTCCCTTCTCCCCCATTCTTTTAGATGAGGAATGGGAGCTACCGATGGGTTAGTGATTAGGCTAATATTACAGAGAGGTTATTGAAAGAGCTGGGAATGGAAGCCAGGAATCCTGGTATCCTTTTCTCTTGTTCTAGATGCATTTTAAACTTTCACTGTGTTGGTAATTTCAGTATATTCACCTACTTTTGAATATACTGAGTATCAATTTTAATGTAATAATAGTACTTACCTTTTTTTCTTCATTGTGGGTAATCAGGTTGGGGTAAGTAAATAATTTTCTTTGATCAACAAATTATTTTCATTCATTCCATTATTAACAGTGAAACAGATTGCTCATGGCTAAAGTATTACGTTATATATAGAGTGACTATCGTTAATGTGAGGAAGCATGATTTCTAATTACCTTATTACTTTTTGGGAGGGAAGCATGAGTTATACTTACTCCAAAGAAGTCTATTTATGTTTAAAAAAAGTTTTAATTTTTCAGGAAAAGGGAGTCAGGAAATAGGATGTTCTTTAATAAATTGTGTAGACAACTGGAAATCTTATCAGCCTCTTATTATGTTCTTATGCATGTTTAAAAATTTTTTTCATGCAACACCACGTGCTGTCCGAAAAATAGAAGAAATAAATAATTAGAAAATTAAAAAAAATAAAAAGAAAAATTTTTTTTACAAAGTAAACAATAGTATTTAAAATTACAAAAACAATATTTTGGATTCTATAATACTTTTTAATGCAACTGAAATATGATTAGTGTGACTCTGAAAAATTATTAATATATCCATCTTGTATGAGTTATGTGAAGGACCATGTGCCCCACTTTGTGAACTTAATGGGATATCAGCATTTGGCAGTATTGGCATTTGTAAAATAAATACACCATTGCCTCTCCCAAACTTTACTCTGCAGCAGATGGTGCTTCAAAAGGACTGATGCTCAGCCTCTCAGGAGATAATTAGCAAGTGAACTGAAATGCTGTAATTCCTGGGGAGAGGGGTTCTGTCAAACACACATTGTTACCTCTCTGCCACTCTCCATTCCTCCTTGAGGTTTTCGGCTGGTGCTTTCGGACTTTTTTTTTCCTTAGTATCCTGAATGTGAAGGTTGAGATAGGCCAAAATTATGAATTTGGAGGTCACTGATACTTTATGACAAAACAGAAGAACTCTATGAGCTGAGTTCTTTGGTCAGAAAGCTACTAAATCTTTGGAGTCAAAGAGCATTTTTACATTGAATACTCATTTTTTAAAAAATCAGCACAGCATACGTGTAATGAACCATGCAAATAGAAATTCTTCAGAGTAGTTTTAATTCATTGATTTTTTTCTTTTCTTTTCTTTTTTTTTCTTTTCTTTGAGACAGGGTCTTACTCTTGCCCAGGGTAGAGTGCAGTGGCATCATCATAGCTCACTGCAACTTCAGATTCCTGGGCTCAAGGATACTCCTGCCTTAGCCTCCCCCATGTAGTTGGAGATTCATTGATTTTAATGTGATATAACTCTTTCCCTTTTTATTGTGAAGATCAGGTGAGAAAAGAACTTGATTACCTCTCTTCACCTTCCTGGCTGTTCCTAGTCCTCACCCTACTTCTCTAGGCTCATGATACCTTTATTCTTTTTTTTTTTTTTATTTCAGCATATTATGGGGGAACAGATGTTTAAGTAACGTATGCTGCCCTTGCCCCCCCCCCAAGTCCGAGTTTCAAATGATACCTTTATACTTATCTCTTTCCCTTTTAGTGTCCATTTCATCCTTCCTTTCTTTATTACCTTGTCTCCTAAACTTGTGTGATGTCCTTTTAGGGAAACTGGCATTGTGCTTGGGCATTTGGACTACAGCCTATGTCCTGGTGTTCCTTAGCCTATTTGCCTTGTCTGCCAGTTTTGACTATCAGTTGGCAACGCTTAAGTCTGAAACCCCTCAGAAACTGGGACCTACCAGCCTATGATGAAAGTTTTATTTGTTCTGTTATTTTTGGCTGGTTGAGTCTTTAACATTTATTAATATACAAAAAATGGCTTCTTCATACAATCTACCTTCAGCATGACCCTGTGCAAATCTAAACTAGTACATGTAGTAGACTTGCTTCTGCAAGTTCATACTTTTGTGTTATCTTCTAGACACCAGAATTCATATTTCATATGCTGGCCTAGAAAATGTAAGTTAAAGGACTTTTGAGTACCTTACATATTTGAATTGTTTATTATGTACTTTTGATCTAGTACTGTTTCTTCACCCTAAACCCTGTGACTGCTGGGCTTTTGAAAACTAACATTTAGACCAGGATTTCTCTGCCTTGACAGTATTGACATTTTGGGATGAATATTTGTTTGTTGTAGGAGACTATCCTGTGCACTGAAGGATATTTAGCATCATCCCTAGCCTTTACCCACTAGATACCAGTAGCCCTTCCCCAGTTATGACAATCGAAATGTCTCTAGATGTTGTCAAATGTCCCCTGGAGGGTGAAATCACCCTTGGTTGAAAACCACTGGTTCAGGGTCTTTCCTGTTATATTTATACTTCCTTAATAATCTGGTAGAACTAAAGAATGGTCCCAGAACTACAAATACCTTTTTATCCAGATGGATGGAGAATGGCATGTTTAGGGTCATTTATTCATTAATTTATTTATTTCAAGAACATTTTATTGACAGGACTTGAGCTAGAGTCTTGTTCAGATGAGCTGGATTTAAGACAGACTCAAACACTGTTGGTTTAGAATTGTCTAAAACTCTTAAAGCTCTACCTCAAATTTCATCTATTTCTTTTCACATTGCTCTCTCTTCTTTCTCTGAACTCCACATTATTGTCTATATCTTTTGTTTATTATACTTGATCATATACTACTTTGTATTATTCAGATATTCATAGGAATTCATTGTCTTCAGGGCCATATTAGAGGAAGGAACAGTGTATTTATACAGATGTTGATCAGAGCCATGGACTTAATTAGTAGTATTCTACATATTTGTTGAATGAAAGAATGCAAATTAACACAATTTTAAATCAGTTCATGAGCAACAGTATATCCAGTGCTTCTTACCTATTTAAAGCACACATGAGGTCTAAAAACAAAGCTGTTCTCTGCTTTACTTGCCATTTGATATACTGATATCTGTGTAATAGTAATTAAAATTTGTTTTTCTAACTTGCCAGGAAAAAATCTTGTTTTTCTTTAACATTAACATATAGCTTAGAATACTAAGAAAATCAACTAATTATTAATACTGAGTGACATTACCAAAACATGCTTGAACATGCACATATCATCTGTTTAATCTAAAAAATGGTTTTTGAGGTAAATAAGGCTTTGTTGTTCTTTTACTAATGGGTGCCTTTATATATAGTTCCAAATTTCACAATCATATTGGCTTTGGAAGTGCCCTGGATTTTACTTTGATATTGATGCTATTTAAAAATGTATCATTTCAGTGAAATCCACATTCTCTAGTAGAGTATTCAAACTATGTGTATTATCTCACATCTTTATTAGATTTTGATCACCTAAATATTTTGAAGCTGAGGATTTTTACAGATAATTTAATTTATATATACTCATAGAGAAGAGAAGTGACAGTGTCTAACATGACCAAAGTTTAGTAATATATCCTTTTAATGTTTAAATTGTATTTTCTAAAAAGTATTGAAGTTTAAGGAACCTTCAGAATATTTTTCATATAATAAACAATTTGCTTCATCTGGTATCTTTTTTATTTCTTTTGTTTTGATCTTGTTTATTAACACAGAAAAGCTTCACTGGCCTGAGCAAGAACTTGCTAAGAAGTCTATTCTAAATGCAGAAGATTCATTGATCATTGACAGCAAAAGAAACATTTCCCATTTACCCCCTGGAATACTAAAGGACATTTTCACAACTGGAACCAGTAGTTACAATGTCCTACTACAGAGCAAGGAGGAGAAAAAGCATCATTCACAAAAAGAGTCTTCCTCCACCTACTCCAAAAGATGTAGAAAACCCAGCAAATCTCCTAGCTCTTCTCATAGCAAAGATCCTCGCAGGACGAAAACCCCAGTGCCTGTGCCTGGTACTTGGTACTGCCTGGAGAGGCAGCCTGCTGTTTTTGTCACTAGTTCAGTGTCAAGTCCTGTAAAGTTTACACATGATATCTCTGTTACAGGGAACAGCATAGTACTGCCACCTAAATCCAAAAGCAAGGTCAAGCGGCGTCATTTCTCCACATTTCCAAAGCCAAAGCCACAGCCGCAACCTCAGCCTCAGCTGTCTAGAAGCTTTGAAAAAGGAGATGACTTTTCTGGAAAAAAATTTTGTATATTGACTGCTATAAAGCCTACCAACTTAGAGAAAGAAAAACTGAGATTCTTCAAATCTGACTATACCTACAATCCTCAATTTGAATATGCTAATCCTGCTCTGCCAAGTGTGTTAGCCAAGCACAGCAACGCATCTGACCGATTTCTTAAGCAGGTAAAATACCAGTACAATGGTGGTATCTTCATTTTCATGTAGCTAAAACAATTATGTGTGATCTTATCCGCAAAAAATAAAGACATTTAAAAATATTCCAGTTATTTATATGGTATAGTTAATTCCCACCCAGTACATAAGGACTGTGACAAGAAATCTCCAGGTGAGTGGTATCACTTACATGTAAACTACTTTTCATTAATCAAATTTTATAGAGAATCTATTACATAGACTCTTTGTGACAGGAAACAAGTATATTTAGGAAAACAGCTTCAGATTCTGGTTCCAGGTTTTCATTTGGGAGTTACAAACTTGTGGCCCGTTAGCCAGCCCACAGATAAGTGTTGGGTAGCTCACACCATGTTTTCTTTTCTTTTCTTTTTTTTTTTGACCTTTTCTATATTTTTTTATTTCAAATATGAAGGGGGTACAAATGTTTTGTTACATAGATACCTTGTATAATGCTTAGGTCAGAGCTTTTGGCATGTCCATCGCCAGAATGGTGTTCATTGTACCAAATAGGTAAGTTTTTATCCCACACATCCTCTCCCCCGACTCTCCTCCCTTTTTGGTTCCAATGTCCTTTATATCTCTTCGTACCTATGTGTACCCATTGTAACTCCCACTTACTGGTGAGAACATAAAATGTTTGGTTTTCCATTCCTGATATACTTCACTTAGGATAATGGTCCCCAGTTCCATCTAAGATGCTGCAAACAAAATTATTTCATTCACTTTTATGGCTGAGGAGTACTCCATGATGTATGTATACCACATTTTCTTGATCTACTCATAAATTCATGGACACTTAGGTTGGTTCCACATCTTTGCAATTATGAATTGTGCTGCACTAAACATTCAGGAGCAAGTGTGTTTTGATAAAATGACAACTTTTCCTTTGGGTAGACACCCAGCAGTGGGATTGCTGGATTGAACAGTGGTTGTACATTTATTTCTTTGAAGAATTTCCATACTCTTTTCCATAGAGGTTCTACTAATTTGCAGTCCCAACAACAGTGTATAAGTGTTACTATCTCTCGGCATCCACATCAGCATCTATTGTTCTTTGGCTTTTTAATAATGGTCATTCTGATAGGGGTAAGGTGGTATCTCATTTTAGTTTGAATTTGCATTTCCCTGATGATTAGTGATGTTGAGCATTTTTTCATATGTTCGTAGGCCATTTCTCCATCTTCTTTTGAAAAACTTTTGTTCATGTCTTTTGCCCATTTCTTGATGGGGTTCTTTTTTTCTTGCTGATTTGTTTGAGTTCTTTGTAGATCCTGAAGATCAGTCTTTTGTCAGATATAAAGTTTACAAATATTTTCTCCCATTCTGTAAGTTATCTATACACTTGGTTTTTCCTTTGCTGTGTGGAAGCTTTTTAATTTAATTAAGTCCCATTTATTTATTTTTTTCTGTTGCTGTAATTGCGTTTGGAGTCTTAGTCATAAATTCTTTCCTTAGTTCAGTGTCTAGAAGAATTTTTCCCATGTTTTCTTCTAGAATTTTTATGGTTTCATGCCTTACATTTAAGTCTTTTATCCATCCTGAATTAATTTTTGTAATCACATGTTTTTGTTTTCTAATTGATTTTTTTTTTTTTTTAGCAGGGTCTCACTCTGTTGCCTGGGCTAGAGTGCCGTGGTGTCTTTGTTGCTCACTGCAACCTTAAACTTCTGGGCTCAAGCAATGCTCATGCCTCAGCATGCCACAATACCTGGCGGCTAATTTTTAAATTTTTTTGTAGAGATGGGGTCTCATTTTGTTGCTCGGGTTTGTCTTGAATTCCTGGGCTCAAGCGGTCCTCCCACCTTGGCTTCCTAAAGTGCTGGGATTACAGGCGTGAACCACCATGCCTTCTATCAATAATTGATTTTTTAATGCATTAGATGGAGCATTCAATCTCTGGTTCTTCCTATTGTATTACCTTCCCAGCTTGCTTAGGCCTCCTGTAAGCAGTTTGGAGATGCAGGCTTGATTTTTGCCCAAGGACTTGTTAATACTTCACTAAGATTATTAGTTATCATCAAATAAATATTTAAGCCCTCATTTAAAGAAGAAAATAATGAGATTTTAAAAATTATCCTCAAGTTTAAAAAATTGTGATGTGAATGATATGAATCATACTTTGTAAATTACTCAAATTAGACCCTTAGCACATGGTTTTATGTTTTATTTACAGGGCTATAAGAAATTTCAAAACTTCACTTAAGTATTTGAGGAGAAATTGGCTAATGTTTACCTGCAGGGCATAGTTTTGAGATCATAAAGGCAGACTACATTTGGCTAAATTAACTTTGTATAGGTTTTTATAATGCTTTAGCCTCAACTTGGCTTTGTGAAAATCTGTTTGTAGGATAGGTAAAACTGCGTGGTTTCTTTTGCCTGTGGTATATGCCCTAGTTTAGCATTTTTCCTCATAACACAATATTGTTATTTGTTCTTGTGGCCAGAAGACTTTTTGCTGTTTATTATAAATAACATGGAATCTGAACCAGTCTTTTGAAACCATTATGTAAAGTTTAATTATCTATATATGTATTTATTTATATCTATCTATATATATATTTACTGCTTCTATATTTTCTAATGGACATTCACTTTTTTAAAAACATGCTGAGATTGTGCTAAAGATTGTGACTCAAATGGATAAGTTACTTATATAAAGTGGCATCCCTTTGGATGGGAGAAGGCAGTTTTAACATAGTGATTACATATTTATGCTGCACTGCTTCCCACATGTGTAAAACGGAGTAAAGAAAATAGCTACTTAAAGAGGTTAAAGAAGTTATTTTGATTATTAAATGATATAAAGCTTAATGCATATATTGTAGTTACCATAGTGCTTGGCACATAATAAGCACTAATAAAAAATTAGCTATTATTTCTTATTCCTATTTGGCAGTTATTCTCGTGATTTTGTGTGTGTGTGTGTGTGTGTGGAAATTGCAATTGATTGAACAGGGCTTCCACAAATGTAAAATTTATGATAATTACAAAAATTCTATTTGCATTTTTTCCTCATTAGTGCTGAAAGAGATGACTGAGATTTATTTATCAATATTCTTTAATTTGGAGACCTATCTTAGTCCTGCCTGGTGGGAAAGAGATTTCCCACCATTAAATTAAAATGAATTGTCTCTCATTTCTCTGGAAGACAATTTGGGAGCCTCAGCAGCCCCACAGATTGAGAATTGTCACTGCTTAGCCTGTGGCTTTACAATTTTTATTTTGATCCAATTCCAGCTTCAGGAGATTAAACTTACACTTGGATTGCTTGAGACTTCTAAATAGCACCAGCAATCCTAGCTGGCTTGTATCTGAAATGCCACTATTTGGGAGAATGCTGTCAATAAATGCCAAGTCTACTATTTAGACCACTTTAAGCAAATATAGGAAATTCACAGGACAAGGCCTCTGGAAAAATATGCTTAAATTCCTCTTCAGCATCTGAGTGAATTATGACATGACATCATATATCCTTCCCCTCCCCAGATAAAACAACAGCTTCAAGACTGGTCTCCAGGACTCAGAAATGTGCTGCTGAAAGAGGCCAGAATGGCCAAGTAGCCTCATGGTTTTCCACCTATGAGGCCTTACCAACCCCCAGCTGACAATCTTTGAAGTTTCATGATCTGGATCCTTCTAAGTCAGGCAGTCTGTATTGTTGGAGGATGACTGTAGTCCTCTTCAGTGCACAGATTGGCAGAACTTTTCATATACAAACAAGTCTGCCACAGTGGAACCAAGGCAATGCTCAGGCTCTCCATGAATATCAACAAGTTCCAGGACTTAGGGGTTTTTTTTTTTGTTTTTGTTTTTGTTTTCAATCTAAGCAGTTAGTCCCTAGGGAGGCACTCAGGCCATTGAGGTAGTATAGGATATCGAGCATGGGCTACAGGACTGGAATATAGCTCTAGGTGGAGTCTCCCGAGCCCTGCCTAGCTGCATTCTGGCAGCCATGGTGTTCCTCAGCTCCCCTACTCTTGGATATGTTAAAAGTGAGTACCTACTTGGACCAACTTCTTTATGGTAGGAAATAAATTCTTACTTTCATCTTCCTAGTTAGCAGACTTTATATTATAGTCATTGTATATGGAGTCACAAACTCAGATGCCTACATGATCTGGGCAGGGCTCATAAATGGTTGCAGGGAGCTGGATGGGGACAGTAGCAAACTGGAAATCAGAAAGTGGTTATTTTGTTTGAGCCACAATTTGAGCCAGTGTTATTATATCTTCAGGGTTTTAAAGAGTAGGTAGAAACCTGAATTTTATATGAAGTCTTGCAGTTTGTAAACATTGACACCTAATTCAATTAAACAAACACAGGCTGTCTAGACCAATGAAAACCTGTGTGTGGCCCACATTCATCCCATGGGTTGCCACTTTGCCATATCCGATTCACCAGATCTATTTACTATAGGCTCCACCTTATTAGGAGCAATGATTAATATAAAGAGTTTTAAATGTGGTGCTCTGAAAACAATCTCTTGCTTTTAGAGTTTATAGTATGAATGGAATAGGTAATTCATAATTATTTTAAAACACATTCATAAAAATACATACGTAAAATCACGTGTGCTCTAAAGCAAGACAAATGCTCTTTTTTTGATAGAAAAAATTTATTTGGAAATAAAATGCCTTCAACAGTATGACGTCTTGACATAAAATTTCTTTAAGGCTAAGTTATAATTTTACTATCACTGAAACAGTTTTTTATCTTTGTAGACCTCAAGTTGTCAAAACTGTAACGGGAAGAAAAAGTAAGCTTTCTTTAAATTATACCTCTCCCTAGATAACATGATTTTCTGTTTAGCCAATCACAGACCTTTCACAGGTACCTTGAAGCTATAAGGTTTTTTAAGAGATTATTTTGAGTTTAGAATGTTCCATAGAAGTTTTGTGTATTAGATTAGAGAAATTGGATCATTTCTTAACCTACTAGCAAGAAGGCTTTTCTTACAGATCAGAGATGGAAACACCCCAATCAGATTG